TATGCACCACCGCTAATGCAGTGACCGCTCCTATGGGAGACGTACACCTTATAATTATGCATCACCGCAAGTGCAGTGACCGATCCTATGGGAGACGTGCAAGTGCAGTGACTGCTCCTACGGGAGACGCACACCTTATAATTATGCACCACTGCAAGCGCAGTGACTGCTCCTATGGGAGACGTACACCTTATTACACACTGCCACTAGGGCAGCGACCACTCATACCCCATACAGGAAACACACACCTTATTATCATGCACCACTGTTAGTACAGTGACCGCTCCTACGGGAGACGTACACCTCATAATTATGCACCACTGCAAGTGCAGTGACTGCTCCTACGGGAGACGCACATCTTATAATTATGCACCACTGCAAGCGCAGTGACTGCTCCTACGGGAGACGTACACCTTATTACAAACTGCCTCTAGGGCAGTGACCACTCATACCTCATACAGGAGACACACACCTTACTATTATGCATCACTGTTAGTACAGTAACCGCTCCTACGGGAGACGTACACCTTATAATTATGCACCACTGCAAGCGCAGTGACCGCTCCTACGGGAGATGTACACCTCATAACTATGCACCACTGCAAGTGCAGTGACTGCTCCTACAGGAGACGTACACCTTATAATTATGCACCACTGCAAACGCAGTGACTGCTCCTATGGGAGACGTACACCTTATTACACACTGCCTCTAGGGCAGTGACCACTCATACCCCATACAGGAGACACACACCTTATTATCATGCACCACTGTTAGTACAGTGACCGCTCCTACGGGAGACGTACACCTCATAATTATGCACCACTGCAAATGCAGTGACTGCTCCTACGGGAGACGCACATCTTATAATTATGCACCACTGCAAGCGCAGTGACTGCTCCTACGGGAGACATACACCTTATTACACACTGCCTCTAGGGCAGTGACCACTCATACCTCATACAGGAGACACACACCTTACTATTATGCACCACTGTTAGTACAGTGACCGCTCCTACGGGAGACGTACACCTTATAATTATGAACCACTGCAAGCGCAGTGACCGCTCCTATGGGAGACGTACACCTCATAACTATGCACCACTGCAAGTGCAGTGACTGCTCCTACGGGAGACGTACACCTTATAATTATGCACCACTGCAAGCGCAGTGACCGCTCCTACGGGAGACGTACACCTCATAACTATACACCACTGCAAGCGCAGTGACCGCTCCTACGGGAGACGTACACCTCATAACTATACACCACTGCAAGTGCAGTGACTGCTCCTACGGGAGATGTACACCTTATAATTATGCACCACTGCAAGCGCAGTGACCGCTCCTACGGGAGACGTACACCTTATAATTATACACCACTGCAAGCGCAGTGACTGCTCCTACGGGAGACGTACACCTTATGCACCACTGCAAGCGCAATGACCACTCCTATGAGAGACTCATACCTCATCACACACCACCGTCAGCACAGTGACAGCTATTACGGAGATGCATACTTTAACACACAACATTGCTAATGCAGTGACCACGGGCGTCTTCCGTGGGAGCAGACACTCTTGCTAGAGACATTCATCATGCACCACTATCAACACAGCAACTGCTTCCTCCCGAAACACATACCTTATAACTCAACAGCACCCCTCCAAATTTTTAAGATCAGCAAATTTTGGGGGGCTTGCACATTGTCTGGCTGCTGTCCTGTAACAAATAGCGTTTTTTGGGGAGCGCTCTGGGGCCGGGCTAGATACTTCGCTTGAATCCCAACTCCTCTTTGTTTCCTTATAAGGGGAATAACTCGAGTTGGGGTGTCTCCTCGAGCTCAGAGCCCTCCCCGCGGACAGCACGCCAAATATGCTTTATACTTAAACGAATGCAAGTGTGAACTCGTGAAGTGATGTTTGTAAACAAATTTCGGGAGGAGCATGCGCAGAAGTTTCAGTATCGAATACGTCATTGACAATTATCCCATCATCAAATCAGTTTCTGAGCAACGCTTATATATACCAAAGCTGTCTTACCTGCAGCATCTCACGACTTTAGCATCCCTCCACCACCCCGTCACCTAACCTCTTGCATTGCATTCCCGGGGGGAGCGCTCTTGGGCCGGGCTAGATACTTCGCTCGAATCCCAACTCCTCTTTGTTTCCTTATAAGGGGAATAACTCGAGTTGGGGTGTCTCCTCGAGCTCAGAGCCCTCCCCCCGGACAGCACGCCAAATATGCTTTATACTTAAACGAATGCAAGTGTGAACTCGTGAAATGCAATACAAACCGTAACAAATAGAACCTACTTACAAGAGTAGGTTAACTTTCTCTTCTCAAAATCACATGAGATTTACATAAACACATTTGATTATGTCTAAAATTGAACGTACACAGTTAAAGAGCCCCTATTATGGGTTTTTGAAATTGACCTTAACCTTTAATGACATTAACCCACCCTGCAATGCAGGATTCTCCAGCCGTTTATTAAATGACAAGTGTATTAATTTATGGGACTTTGACAGACCTTGACAGTGACTTTGTCAGTACATAGTTTATATGGACTAGTTTCTTCTTCCTCTGTATCACAACCTGTAAGTGTGATTAAAAAGGCTGCCCCTTGTTTTCTGTAGCTTGAAAAATATGTATTTAATTAGTTTTTGTAGCTTGTAATGGCTTCACACGGCATGTACATCATTTTTTTGGTTAACTTTTATAGGGCTATTTACTAGGGGTGGAAATCACGTTATCTCACATTTAGGGTTGGGTTCTGAAACCCGGCGCCATTATAGCACCGGTACCTTTGTAATCGGTATGTACCGGATCAAATCAGCATATAAATTTCAGTACCTAATTTCGGTGCCACTGTGCTGCGACGAGGATGAAGAATCATTAAAGGGTGCATCAAAGGCACACATAAGTAGGCGTTGTCACACCAACTTTAAATATTTATTTCTAACCAACTTTGAGGAATACGGACAGGCGATGTCAAGCGTTTGTTCTTGTTGCTTAGGGAAAGGACACACGCAACGCACGCAGTACAGCGCATTCGGTAAGCGACAAAGACTCTCTTTAGATCAACACGCATGATTGCGTTCATCAAATTTGTTTAAACTAAGCGTTCTAAAGTGTAGTTTACAAGCAAAGATTTTGACAGCGGCGTGAAGCAGATGCTTTACAAAACTTGCGTGTACGTGGGAAACACGTCAAACTTGATGACATATTTGAGGGCTTAAAGGAATGCCCCGTCTCTGACATAATCTGGCACTTTAAATATACGTACATGCACACTAATGCTCCGATTTTATTAGGATTTAGATAGTACTCTGATTTCGAGTCTAGACCAGGGGTGGGCAAACTCAGTCCTGGAGGGCCGGTGTCCTGCACAGTTTAGCACTAACTCTATTCAAACACACCTGCTTATAGTTTTCTAGTGATCTTAAACACACTGATTAGCTTGTTCAGGTGTGTTTGATTAGTGTTGGAGCTAAACTGTGCAGGACACCGGCCCTCCAGGGCCAAGTTTGCCCACCCCAGGTCTAGACTACCATGTAAACAGTGATTTTTGATAACCTTAAAAGGACCTTAAACCTTAAATAGACCTACAGTTGAAGTCAAATTATTTAGCCTTCCCATTCATTTAAAATAATGATTCTGAAAATGGTCATGCCGTGTTTCCTAAATATATATATATATATATATATATATATATATTTATATATATATATATATATATTTATATATATATATATATATTTATATATATATATTTATATATATATATATATATTTATATATATTTCTCTGCCCGTGCTGCGTGTCCCTCCGCCCTCACCACCCTTGACGGTGGAGCTGCCAGGGGGTGTGAGGCGATCCCGCCGGTGGAGCGTGCTATCGCGGTTAATCTTCTTGGCGGGGTCCGCCCCGTCTCCCGTCCAAAGCCTGTAGGTTATTTGCCTCCCTCGGAGATAGAGCTTACAAGGCTGCGGGCCAGGCTGCTTCCGCCTTGCACGAGATGGCCACCTACCAGCGCTAACAAGCGCAGGCGCTGGCCGAGCTGCACGAGCTTTTTCTGATTAAAAAAAGACCTTGTACTTAAAAGGTTGCACACATTACTATTTTACAGTCAAGACCTATTTTTTTCAAAGGGTCAGTCATGATTTTGAGCTCACTACACTTGAAATCTTAAGTTTATTTTTTATGGTACATAAGTTAAATTAACTCACATTTTTAAGCGATAGGACCAAAATGCTAAATTTTAAGTTATGTTCAGTCAACTTTACCTAATTGTTTAAGTAAAGACAACATTAGGGTTTACAGTGTGGGAGCAAGCAGTAAGAGAAATCCAAAAGATAAGTTGGCAAACAGCAAAAACAATACACAAGACAAAGGTCAGGAAACACCAAGACAAGACACAGAAACGTTTTGTAGTGTTACAACAACAAGACTAAGCAAACTGTTGGTGAAAGTGAGTGGTTTAAATAGTTCAGATAATCAATGATCATGAGCTTCAGCTGTGTGTCTCTCTGTCAGCTTTGGCAGCAGTGTTGAGTACAATGAGTTCTGGGAGTTTTAGTTTGGTTCAATGGCTGAATTGTAGTTCTCCAGCAATCTGCAACTGCTTGATCGCTGGTGATCATAACACATAGCAGCATCTCAATTTTGTAGCATACATATTTAAGAAAAAAACTTTAATCAATACTATTGGACCGTGAAGAGACTTTCAACCAGCACAAAAAAAGGTTTCTGAAGACAATCACCTACTGCACCTTTAATCCAAACTACTTTGTGGAGTCATTCTAAAAGTGTGTAGATTAATCATAAATAATGTACAACTGTAGAAGAATACTGCTTTTATGTTCACATTGTTTTGTTCTAATATATTAGAGTTATGAGCATCTCACATTTATATAATATTTATATCTCTTTGTGTCCAATAAAAATTTACTTGTCATAATGACTGTATTTCTCTGTTTCTCTCTATTTCTGTGACATGAAGCAGAGACAGTGACATTCATCCAGGGAAGGACAGCTGTTTTAAAGACTTCTGCAGAAATACACAATCATGATCAGATAGAATGGAGATTTAACTATAAGAGGTTTCCCATAGCTGAAATCAAAGATGAGCAGATCTCTACATCTGATGGTCCAGATGGGATTTTCAAAGACAGACTGGAGCTGGACAAGAAAACTGGATCTCTGACCATCAAGAACATCAGTCAGGAACATGCTGGGTTTTATCAACTAAATATCATGAATAGCAGATTAGCACTCCGTGTCAAAACATTTATTGTTTCTGTCGATGGTGAGTATTTGATGTGTTTGTTTTATGAATTGTTATACATTTAAAGATTAATGTTATCATTTTCCACTGCAGACACAATTTGCTTCTTGCTGGAATTGTTTTGCGACCTGAAACTAAGACAGCTTGTTGTTTTAGAAAGACTTTATTGTAGGGTCGGGCAAATAGACGATGCCATCGCCGATGACTGATAGACAACACGATGCTCCTCTGCCCATCGCAAACCTGCTCGCGAAAAATAAACACTCAGGCACCGTTTACACTAATTTCATTTAACTAATCTAAGTTTCATTTAACATTTCTGAATAGCCCTCCTTCTGGCTGAAAATGCACATCATGTGACCAAAAACACACACAGACACATCTAAACACACACTGTCATGCACTCGTCTGAGCTACAGAGAGCAGTGCACTTCGGACAGTTTATCAAGTATGTTATCGCTGGATGGCATCTCACTATAGTTGTTAAATGTGATATTTAATTAATCTTCTTTCTAACGACTCTTCACTCGTCTTTTAAATCTATCAGGTAACGTGTCACAGCATCAGTACACTGCTTCAATCTTTCACTTTCACGCTTGTACTTAGTCATTTTATTGGAAACCTCAGATACTGTTGGTTGGGCACCTTTTTTACCGACCAGGTTTGTATACGCCATCATAACGATTCCCGCGGAAAAAGTGTTGACAGGTCGTCATTTGTGTGTAATTTTTTTATTTATGATTTGGTTATTGGTAAAATAGACCATGCGGTTCAGGTAGGTAAAACAGTAGGCTACAAATAATTAATTCGTTATGAACAAATTAATTATTCATAAATAGTTAATTCACCTCAACCTATGATGACGATGCCATCGTCCATCTCAATGTTTCACATTAGACATCGTACGATGCCAAACTGGTCAACATCGCCCAACCCTACTTTAGTGTGAGAAGGCTTAATCATAATTAGGTCCTTCTAAAACTGAATAAAATATAATCTGAGAGTTGTTTTGTTAACTATGAAGTGTTGTTATTTTTCTTTTTTTACTTGAACCCTGCTTTTTTTACTTTAACCCTGTACAGCCTACTTGTAGATTCTAATACAGGGTAAAAAATGGACTTATCAAAATTATTATTTTATTTAGAAAATAATCAGTGTAGTGCATTGCATTATGCTTATTTTATAATCATGTTACTTGGACATTTTTTAGGACATATAGAGAGTTTTTTTGAGCTTTTGAAAGTAGTTGATTATACTATTGATAATACTGTAAAACTAATTATATTGTCTCAATTACGGATGTAACCATCGTTCCCTAAAGGAGGAAATGGGGACAATATGTCAGGGTAATCAACAGATTGGGAAATTGTCAGATGAGCTTACTCTAACTAATAAATAGATATACACATTAGGGCACTTCGCTAACTAGTTTGTCTATACAACAATAATCCTGCGTGCAAAGTATGTATGTCACGTAACTTACTATGTTGTTCAACTATCATTAATATTAATGAACTCTGCTCTGATGCAGCTCAGTCCCTGCTCTCTCTTTTTCTATCTCTCTTTCAAACATATACACACAACATGATGTAATCTGAAATACACATACTAAGTAATCGAACTTCATTTGTCAAAAAATATCAACATTATATAAATGAACAATAATAACAAAGTATGTTCAAAGTATTTACTCAAAGTATTTATTTATGTTAAATAAATAATACTACTAATAATAACATTATTCAAAAGCAAATTGTCATGATTAAACTAAAAAAGCCTCCCAAGATGAAGAAGGCATGAAGGCAGGGGTTTTTATATTTATGTAGAAAATATTAATGTTTGTAATATTTTATTTCTTTAATTCTTTTTCATTTGAAAAGATATTTGCATATTGCTGTACATCCTGTGTGTTTTAAGCAATGTGTAAACGAGGCGCACAACTAACACACTGTGTTGGACTTTAGACCTGCTTTCAGCTGGTCTATTGAGCATTTTATTTCTTCAAAATAGCAACACGCCAACAATGCACCTTAACACACTTCTTATCTAGACTGAAACATCCATGAGTTCACAAAGTGGAGCAAATGGATTTGCTATTTGAACAACATGGTGGATAATGGGAAAATTAGTGTCTGAAAATAGCAACAAATCATAGAAACATAGATCATACAAGGAGTGTTAGTAAATCAGATTTTCTTCATCTTGGATGACAGGGATATATTTACAGTTGAATTTTAAAGCATTAACATGGCAACACAACCGCAAATATGGAAACAAAACTGATGATTAATATCAGCCTCTGATTCTGTTGCAATGACATTGCAAGTTATTGCTTTCTTTTACTCCAGAAAAATGACATTAAGAGCTGAGTGATATGACATGATGAAGAAATGTGCATTAAATTCTCATCAGTCTACATGTGTTTGTTGCCTCAATACAAATTTATGTGACAAATTTTACAGTGTACAGAAACATATTAACAAAAGATACAATTAAACAGACTTTAAGCCTCTTCAGGGTGGAGCTGTATAATTTTATAATCCATATATCCTGCATTTTGTATTCTGACAAGCTTCTCGATGCTTAGCAAAACATATAAAACAATCTGTAAGACGGTGTGGCTGGCTTTGCTCTCTCTGCATTTCCCAAATATAGTCTTTCTATTCCTGTATAGAAGAATTCTGCTTTTATGTTAACATTGATTTAATCTAATATATGAGAGTTATGAGCAGCTCATATTTACCTCTACTGTTTGTTCTTGTCCTCACATTTACAAAATATATTTCTGTCTCTTTGTGTCCAATGAAGCTTTGTTGACTCACTTGTTATCATGTCTTCATTTTTGTGTTTATGTGACATGAAGCGGAGAAAGTGACAATCGTGGAAAGAAGGGCAGCTGTATTAAAGAATTGTCCAGAAATACAAACTGATGATCAGATAGAATGGTGGTTTAATGAGTCTCTCATAGCTGAAATCAAAGCTGGAGAAATCTCTACATCTGATGGTCCTGATGGGGTTTTCAAAGACGCACTGGAGCTGGACAAGAAAACTGGATCTCTGACTATTAAGAACATCAGATATGAACATGCTGGGGGTTATTGTCTAAAAATCAAAAATAGCAGATTAGCAGATCGTATCAGAAGATTCATTGTTTTTTACATGAGTGAGTATTTGAAGTCTTTATGTTTTATAAAGTCCTCCTCATGCATGTTGTTTTCTTCAGATAATTAAGCTAAAAATATACAGACTCCAGTTAGACTGCAGATCATCTCAGTCTTCATCATTTTAAGATTAAATGTTAAACAGTGTTTCTTCTACAATCATTCTGCCATGGCGGTTCACCACACCAAAAATCATGCGCCACAGCTGGGGGAAGACACAATGTTGAGAAAGATGACAGTCAGGTCTTTAATATACCTATGATGGGATGTTTAAGTTGATACTGACTGACTCATATTATGGTGTGTTGACTGAGAAGAAATACAGTTGAACTTTGATAGTTATTATAGTCTGTTAAATGTAATTTTCATTTATTTCCTCAATTTATTCAATATTTTTGTGAACATGAAAGATTATTTAAGAAATTTACAGTGCAGATTAATCCTAAATAATGCACATTTATAGAAAAATACTTCTTATTGTTTTTTTTACTATATTAGAGTTATAAGCATCTCACATTAACATTTACTGTTTGTTCTTGCTCTCACATTTACAAAATATTTCTGTCGCTTTCTGTCCAATAAAACTTTACTCGCTTGTTATAATAATGACTATTTCTCTGTTTCTGTGACTTGAAGAGATGAAAGTGACACTAATGGAGGGGAAGAAAGCTGATTTAAAGCATGATTCAGAAGTACAGACTGATGATAATTTAGAATGGATGTTCAAATCTCTGAAGTCTAAAAACGAGTCTCTCATAGCTGAAATCAAAACTGGACGACAGGTCCTTATACATGCTGGTCCTGATGAGATTTTCAAAGACACACTGGAGCTGGATAAAAAGACTGGATCTCTGACCATCAGGAACATCAGACCTGAACATTCTGGGGATTATTGTCTAAAGGTCATAAATAGCAGCTCAGAAGCTAATGGGCAAACGCATGATGTTTTTGTTGTGGGTGAGTATTTGAAGTCTTTAAGTTTTATGAAGTTCTGCTCATGCATTTTTTAGACAGTTTTTTTTTTCCTTTTCAGATAATTCAGATGAAAATGTACAGACTTCTGTTAACACTGAATCATTTCAGTCTTCATAAATTTGAGATAAAAGATTAATGTTATCATTTTTCACTGCATACACTGTTTGCTTCTTGCTGGAATTGTTACACAAACTGAAACTAAGACAGTTTGTTGTTTTAGAAAAATAATATTGTGAGAAGGCTTAATTAATCAGGTCCTTCTTGTTTTTTCTTCTTCAACGTTAGTCCTGTACAGCCTACTTTATCATATTTTATACAGGGTAAGGTATTGACAAATATTATTTTGTATTTACTTATTTTTTAGATTATCAATGTAAAGCATTACATTGTATTTTAACTATTAAGAAATGTGATCATTAAACCAAGCATTCAAATATTATCTTACTGAAACATTTTTTGGGACACAAATAAAACAACTGAAATTTATATGCATTCTTTAAAAAAATTCCAACAAATTAAAGTGTCATTATTCTTTAAAATCCACTTATGTTATGCGTCTGTGCATGAATTATCAATTTAATAATTTTATTAGGGCTGCATGATATAGGCAAAAACATAGCAATTTTTACTGTGTTATATATTGCGATATGAATACAAATATATACTGTTATGTTAATTGGAGTGATTTTGTTGGAGAGTGCATAAAATATAATAATAATTGTAATTGTCATTTACTTTTATCACTTAATTTAATATTATAGTGAACATGAATGATGATATAAAGCAGTTTAGCAATTTATTCTGCAGTTTAATCATAAATAATGCACACAAATAGAAGAATACTGCTTTTAGGTTCACATTGTTTTGTTGTAATATATTAGTTTCAAAGGGAAACCGAAAAGAATATGAATTATGGAGTTTACAGGTATGAGCACCTCATATTTATCTCTGCAGTTGTTCTCAGTTGTTGTCACATTTACAGAATATTTCTGTGTCTTTGTGTCCAGTAAAACTTTACTCACTTGTAATAATGACTGTATTTCTCTGTTTCTATGACATGAAGACGAGCCCACAAAAGTCATGGAAGGAACATCATTTGTTTTGGAAAGTGCTGCAGAAATACAGAAAGACGAGGTTATAGAATGGAGGTTTAACACTGATAAGTCTCCCATAGCTGAAATCAAAGATGAGCAGATCTCTACATCTGATGGTCCTGATGGGATGTTCAAAGACACACTTGAGCTGGACAAAAAGACTGGATCTTTGACCATTAGGAACATCAGACTTGAACATGCTGGGTTTTATCAACTAATTATCAAGAATAAGTGTTCAGCTTTTTTTCACTCTTTTTTCAATAGTGAGTATTTAAAATCTTTGTTTTATGAAGTTCTCATGCATTTAAAGATTAATGTTATCATTTTCCTCTGCAGACTTAATTTGCTTCTTGCTAGAATTGTTTGGCAAACTGAAACTAAGACAGTTTGTTGTTTCAGAAAGACAGTATCATGAGAAGGCTTAATCATAATCAGGTCCTTCTGAAACTGAAAAACAGATAATCTGAGTGATTTATTTTATAGCAAAGTGTTGTTATTCTATTCAACTTTAACCCTGTACAGCCTGCTTTATCATATTTGAATTGTACACAGGGAAAGTATGGACGAACCCAGCAATTGTAAATTGAAAATTAATTGTACTGATTTCAACAAATTCTTTGCTGAAATGCAGTTGTAACCTAAACAGTAATGTATTTATCTTTACATGTTTTTTCAAGTATTTTATATTATGTTTATAATATTAATATTCCTGATTCATTTATTCTTTTTTTGTCTCAGATAATGATTTTACGATTTGTTTAAAACTGCTTTTATTGAACAAATTGAAGTGTCAGTGTTCTTTCAAAATTCACTTATGCTTTGTTGCTGTACGTAAATTATCAAGAGAAGTGTGTCTGGCCAAGATGTTTTATAATATAAAAGAGAAAGATTGATTAATCTGTTGTTAGTCTAAACATTTTTCTAATAAAAAAAAAACACACACAAAAGTAATAAAAATAAATTCCTTTTCTCCAACAGAAGACATATCCGAGCTGGATGAGGAAACCTCAGAGGACAGTAAACCTGAAGATAGTGAGTTTATTGATCAACTAAACACCATGGATAGCAGCTCTGAAGCCTCTGACAAAGCATTCAATATTTGTGTCCCTAGTGAGTATTCGATGTATTTGTTTTTTTTTAAAAGTTCTCATAGATTTAAAGATTAATGTGTCACGGTTAGAGGAAGGACCCAAATGCTGAATGAGAAAATGGGTGTTTATCGACAATAATGGTAAATGTAGTGTGATTAGGGAGAAACAGTCCAACGGTGAGGAATGGAGCTCTGGCTTACAAAACCATTAACTAAATAAAATACAGAAACTATTGACAAACTAAAAAGCAAAGAGAAATGAAATTAGCTTTTTAACTTACTGATATTTAACTGAAAGAAACAAAACCAATAAAAAGTGAACTAAACACTTAAAGCTACTAAATAAGATGAATAGAATATCTTAAACAAAACAAACTTGAAAAGGATTAACCAGATGGGGAAGATACTGAAGGCCAACTGAAAAAAACAAACAAACATTAGACAAAGAAAACTCTCTCACAAACAACAGCACAGATAAACAAGCACGGAATGGCAACAACATGCAACAAGAAGCAACATGCAACAATGAACCGACGAAGACATGAGGGAAGAGAGCACATTATAAAGGGAGAAAAGAACATGACCAGGTGTAAACACTGACTAACGAGAACTAAACAAGGGCTAAACAAGGGGGCGTGGCAGCTCGAAACAAGAAGGGAGGAACGGAGCACATGGTAGACACAAACAGGTTGAGCCATGTGTTAAAACACAACACAAACAGAGACACGTAGAATGTAGACAATTAAATGACAGACAAGGAAGGGCTATGACAGAACCCCCCCTCAAAGGACGCCTCCTGGCATCCTCAAGCAAGACTGGGAGGTCTCAGGTAGTCCAGACTCGGAGGGGTTGGGACTGGGAGGGAAAAATTAGGATAGTTGGGGGGAGACAGATAGGGGAAGCTTGAAGGTCCCAAAAATCTGAAGGGTGAGGTGGAAGGGCCAGAAGATACAAAGGGTGGGGGGCGTGGGACAAAGAGTCTTTTAGGGAAAGATACCATTGGGGCAGCCTTTAGCCGATGTTTAGAGTATGGAACACTTCTAGGGGTGCCCTCTGGGACTGCAGAAACGGACACAGGGTTAGAATCAGAAATGCTCTCCGGGGCAGTAGGGACTAACTCGGGGTCTGGATCAGAGGAGCCCTCCAGGACTGCCAGAACGGACTTGAGGTCTGGATCAGAAGAGCCCTCCAGGGCTACAGGAACTGACTTGGGGTCTGGATCTGAAGAGCCAGTCGAGGCTGCAATAATGAACTCTGGGGAAGGAGTTGAATACAGAAAACATCTACAGTATGGGTGTCATCCAGGGCTGCTAGAGCTGACCTTGGGTCTGAGTCAGAAGAGCCCTCCTGGGCTGCAGAAATTGACTCAGGGTCTGAGTCTGAAGAGCCCTCTTGGTGTACAGGAATTGACTTGTGGTCTAGATCAGAAGAGCCTTCTGGGGCTGCCATGATGGAATTTGGGGTAGCAGTAGAGACTAGACTGTACTCAGAGACAGAAGTGGAGACAAGACTGAGATCAGGTGGAACTGGAACGGATTTAACATCTGGAGTGCAGACTGGACTGTGTTAACAATCTGCAGTACTCATTCGGGGACAGGAACAGGCAAAGGATAGAGTTTAGTGTAAATAACAGGATTAGTGACAGGAACAGGACAGAGTTTAGGGATTGGAGCTGATACCAAACAGAGCTCATTAGTGGAAGTTTTCATTACATTGTGCTTAGGGACTGGAGCCAGCTCTGAAAGACACACAGGGGCTGAAGTCAACACTGCACTTTGTTCAAGGGTTGAAGTCTTCATGTCACAGCGTTTGGAGACTGGAACCGTCTTTGGAATAACCTCAGGAGCTGAAATCAACATTGTGCTGTGCTCCGGGGCTACTCCCTCTGGTATGAAAGCAAGCCCTGGGACTGCTCTCTCTAGAGCAAGTTCTGCAACCGCTCTCTTAGTGGTGGAAGTGGGCTCTGGGAAGGCTCTTTCAGGGATGTGAGCGAGCTTCAGGACTGAAGTCTTTTTTTTCACAGTGCTTGGGGACTGGAGCCTTCTTCTGAATACACAAAGTGGCTGAAGTCGACACGGCATTGTGCTCTTGGGCAGAAGTCTTCTCACAGCAGTCGGCAACTGGAGCCCTCTTTAGAATACACTTAGGGGCTGAAGCCGGTTCTGCGCTATGCTCAGGGACTATTGTCACTGGATCAGACCCTGACGCTGCTCTCTCAGGAGCAGGTTCTGCAATGGCTCTCTCTGGAGCAGAAGAGGGCTCTGTGAAGGTTGTCTTAGGGGTGTGAGCAGGCTCTGGGACTGAAGTCTTCTCACAGCAGTTGGAGACTGGAGCCATCTTCTGAATACTCTCAGGGGCTGAAGTCAGCACTGTGCTGTGCTCAGGGACCACACTCTCTGGAGTGCGAGCAGACCCTGGGACTCCTCTCTCTGGAGCAGGTTCTGCAGTGGCTCTCTCTGGAGCAGTGGCAGATTCAGATAGTAAAACCTTCAGTTCACAGCACTTGGGGACTGGAGCCATCACTGGAGAATACTCAGGGGCTGAAGTCGGCTCTGCACTGTGCTCAGGGGCTGCACTCTCTGGGATAGGAGCAGGCCCTGGAGATGCTCTTTCAGGAGCAAGAGCAGGCTCTGGGGAAATCCTTTCTGGAACAGATACAGGACATGGACTATTGAAAACAAGGGTAAGGAGTGACAAGATTTCTTTAATAGACTTGGTAAGGTGGGCATATAACTCCAATAAGGCCTCTGCTGCAGAGTCAAAGGACTGTTCAGGACTGATTTCATTAGCTGTAACAGGATGGGCAGGGTACTCTGTGCTAACCTCAGTGTCTATACCAGGTGGACTGAGAGCTATAGGGATGGCCTCCATGGTTAGGACATTGTGAGCAGGCTGCTCAAGGAGAACTTCAGGGGAGTCAGATACAGCAGGTGACTATGAAATGACCTCTGTGGACAGACCATGACTGGGCAGATTGTTAGTCTTTACAGGATAGAGATTGGTGGACACAACAGGAACGGAAATTAGGGAATGATTGATATTACTCAAATCAGTGAGGACACACAGACTAGGAGTTAATTAACGGCTGGCTGTAAGGCATGCTTCCTTTTTTTCTGCTTCTGACGGGTAGAAACAGCACACTCAACCTCTGTAGTATCTGTAACAAACTTGAATTTAGGTGAAGTGGCTGGAAACACAGCAGAGTCAAAGACAGGAACTTGCACAGCAGGCTGTAACACAGGAACAGGGTTAGACAAGGCAGTGAAAGGTTTAATAGTCTTGAGGATGATGGTAGGAGATTTAGAAGTATCAGAGTAGACCATGGTGGACTTAACCGGCTTGGCGGAAACTTTTTAAACAGCTTTCACTGAAATGAAGGGGTCATACAGGGATGCCGCTAGTTAAACTACCGGTTCTCTCTGTGGCCTCAGCGTAGGAAAAGAGCGATGGTCAGCCTCTTGACTAGACTGGGAAGGGAGGTTGGGTAGGTAGCAGTTTACTGATGCAGGTTGTGAAGGTATTCCCCACCAATGCTTTCACAGTTCTGCCAGTCTCTCTGGAGCAATGGGGAATGGAGCAGTGAGGCTCATTCTGCTGGGTCCAGGTCTTGTTGGTCGGTTCATTCTGTCACGGTTAGAGGAAGGACCCAAATGCAGAATGAGAAAACGGGTGTTTATTGACAATAATGTTAAATGTAGTGGGATTAGGGAGAAACAGTCCAACGGTGAGGAATGGAGTAGTGCAGGGGAGTCTTGGGAGTCTCCTTATCCTGAATGTTTTTTCGAAGTGTTGGAATATCTTGCCAATTCCATGCGTGTTCAATAAGAAAAGGTCTGGAGAGGGTTTTCTTCAATGCCAAAAATATTAGTAATTTATTAGATACAAATGAATAATTTGATGACCGAGCTCTGGGTTACGTTACCCCAATGCAATACAAGAATTACTTTTAAGAGGTTCGCAACTAACATACATTTCCTGACTCCAGCATATATACACAACTGATCTTAACAGGTGGAGTTTTGGTTTAACGTCACTTGTCAGTCATTGTTCAGTCCCTTGGCCCTTTGTAACCCCAAGACATTACTTCCTCTTTCTGCAACCTTTCTCTGCATACCAGAACTGAACAATTACTTGCATCTTTAATATATTTCACACTTCTACAAGCATCATGACAACTTGTGACATGTCTAGACAGCAGTCTGGAACAAACCTGAATTCATTCTTATTCTGCTTTTTCCACTTGTCAGCAGTTCTTCTAAAAAGTATGCAGCACAGTAAAAAAGAGAAAGTGTGTCTGGTCAAGATGTTTATAATACAAAAGAGAAAGATTGACTCATCTGTTGTTAGTCTTAACATTTTTCTAATAAAAAAACCACAAAAGTAATAAAAATAAATTCTTTTTCTCCAACAGAAGACAAATCCGAGCTGGATGAGGAAACCTCAGAGGACAGTGAAACTGAAGATGGTGAGTTTATTGATTAACTAAACACCATGGATAGCAGCTCTGAAGCGTCTGACAAAGCATTCAATATTTGTGTCCATAATGAGTAATCAATGTCTTTGTTTCATAAAGTTCTCATATATTTAAAGATTAATGTGTCACGGTTAGAGGAAGGACCCAAATGCAGAATGAGAAAATGGGTGTTTATCGACAATAATGGTAAATGTAGTGTGATTAGGGAGAAACAGTCCAACGGTGAGGAATGGAGTAGTACTGGGGAGTCTTGGGTGGAGCAGGCAGACAAAGGAAGACAGTGCTTGAGAGTCCTGGATGGGGTAATAAGCAGTCACGGAACAGGAGAGAGCAGGGATGCTCAAGCCAGACAAATGGTAAAGTCCTTGGAAGCACTTCTGACCAGCGATCCTAAGTAGGTCTCACCAACAGCAGCCTGACAGGACACCAGCAACAGAGGACTCTCAGCAGACAAGGCTGGATGAATATAAACATAAAACACACACAACACACATACACAGACTGGGAAAACTAAACTAAGAAACAAAACCATTAACTAAATAAAATACAGAAACTATTGACAAACTAAAAAGCAAAGAGAAATGAAATTAGCTTTTTAACTTACTGATAATTAACTGAAAGAAACAAAACCAATAAAAGGAAACTAAACACTTAAAGCTACTAAATAAGATAAATAGAATATCTTAAACAAAACAAACTTGAAAAGGATTAACCAGATGGGGAAGATACTGAAGGCCAACTGAAAAACACAAACAAACATTAGACAAAGAAAACTCTCTCACAAACAACAGCACAGATAAACAAGCACGGAATGGCAACAACATGAAACGTAGCAAGAAGCAACATGCAACAATCAACCGACGAAGACATGAGGGAAGAGAGCACATTATAAAGGGAGGAAAGAACATGATGACCAGGTGTAAACACTGACTAACGAGAACTAGACAATGGCTAAACAAGGGGGCGTGGCAGCTGGGGCCTGTTTCAGAAAGAAGGTTAAGTGAAAACAAAGTATTTTAACCCTGAAATGAGAGAAACTCTGGGTTTTCCATTTCAACATGGCAGAAACTCAAGAAAGCAGGGTAAGTCAAGCCTGATCTGAAAGAGAGGTAACTTAAACTCAGAGTCAGTTACTGTTGAAACTTACTCTGTGAACCTAACCTGGTCAGGAGCAAGTTTTATTCTCTAAACTCGGAATTTCTGTCGGTCTCCTCCCCTTTTTAAAGACGAAGCTGTATTTCTCGCCTTAGCCTTATGCTGCATTCACACCAGACGCGGAACACGCGTCAAGCGTGAGTGATTTACATGTTAAATCAATGCAAACGCGCGAATAGACATTCTGCGGCGCGATATGCGCGAATGACGCGGTGCGAATAGCGCGATACGCGCAAGGCGAATTGAGCGTTTTGCGCGTTTGACGTGCTGAACGAGCGTTTCGTGCGAATCTCTCGAGTTCGAAAATCTGAACTTCAGCGGACATTTGCGCCGCGTTAACCAATCAGAAGCTTGCTCTTGTGGGGGCGTGATTGTGACTTAGAACCTGTTGATGGTGTCCCGGGGAAATACTCCAGGCGACACCGACAACAAGTCATCAAACTCGGCTTGGCTCAGTCAGAAGCACCGTTGAAAGCCTCCGTGATCCAGGTTCAGTTTCTGGAGGAGTTTATGAGCTCACAGAGCTGGATGCACCTCTGAAAGCATGTAGTGGACTCAGACACGGTCCTAAACCTATCAACGCTGTTTTTCAGCCTTCATAAAGTACATAAACACTGTTATTTTCTTCATTAAATCCGTGTTAGCCTTTTAGCAACGAAGCTACAGTCACCGGGCAGACAAAAGCCCTGCCCATCACGCGAATCCGCGTCTGTTCTGAAGTGAATTTGAGACCGAATGAAGCGGACTTCACGTGCGAATGAAGCGAGGTTTGACGCACGAATGAAACAAGCAAACTCAAATGTTCACGCGGCTATTTACGCACCAATAGTGTGATTTATCCACGCGTTCTGCGTCTGGTGTGAACACAGCATTACGTTTCCACCCACCTATTTTAATGCTCATTTTGGATAGGTGCATACAAACGATTGATAGACAGACATCATGATGCACATAACTTTTGAAAATATGCATAAAAGACACGCATGTGTTTTAGCATTGTGTTCTGACATCGAGGCGCAAGTACATTAATAAAATAAAGAAATCATTGATGCAGCTTCTTCTACCACAGTAAATTCTGTTTTTACTGTTGATATTTGGTGTCAGTTAATCAGGAAGTGACGATTTTTTTCTCTTTGACTCGTTGGATAGAATCTCTGCTTTATTCTCATCTTTTATGCAATATTCCAGTTTTGCACATAAATTTATGTAATATATTTGGATGGAAACATAGATAATGCCTGCATTTTAGTCACACACAGAACAAAGTCATGTACGAGAATGGCTTGTCCTTTTTTAATAAATAATTAAATTAAATTCACTGACCTTCGACATGCACTGTTACTAGATTAATGAGATTATTATTCTTTTTAAAAATTATTTTTAGTACTGCTTAATTAAAACTCAATTAAAACTAATAAATGTGTATAAAAGTTTAGGGAAAAAAATCATAAACGTCTCACATTACATTACTTATTTTTTTATACTTAAATATTTAAATACTTAAAAGGTAAAATTACGCATTAACTTGAGCAGCTGTTTTGCCATGCTAACTGTCTCTGTTTCACTGATGGTTGCTTCTTTTCAAATATTTACGCTCATATTTGCTATAACTTTGCATGAGCACATCAAGTTCAGCTGGAGAAAGAAATGCTGATCTCTTTTATAAGATATTGCCATAGTCACTTGTAATGTTTGCACTCCATTGATAATGCCTTTTTATAGTCACGGTGCGCGCGCTTAATTTTGAGTTGGTCTACTCAAAGTTGATTGACCCAACTCAGATCAGCTGTTCTGAAACCGAAAACTCAGAGTTTTCAGTCTCTCAGTAAATCAACTCAGAGTTCAAGTTTAAACTCAGAGTTGGTTGAACCTCCTTACTGAAACAGGCCCCTGGAAAACAAGGAGGGAGGAACGGAGCACATGGTGGACACAAACACAGGCTGAGCCATGTGTTAAAACACAAGACAAACAGAGACACATAGAACATAGACAACAATGAAATGACAGACAAGGGGCCTGTTTAAAAAAAAAAAAAAACAGATCATCTGAGTGATTTATTTTATTGCAGTGTTGTTATTTTTCTTAACTTTAACCCTGATTTTTCTGATATTGAAAAACGATATTTCTATGTGTTTTTGTAAAAAATTGGTAATACTCATAGAACCAATTATAACTGATGTTTATATATCAGCTTCTGCGCCAAGCTGAATGTTGTACTCAATTTGGTTAAAACTGAGATGTTTACAATCACTTGTTTTTAATTATCTTCAATATTTTAATTAATATTTAAACAGTTTAAAAGTTTTAAGATTGCCTTTCTAAAATGTTACAGACTAGAACAAAATAAAATCTCTATAGTGTTAATTGTACTAATGTTGGTTTTAAAAATAACAATATTAGTCCATCATTATTTCTATATTACTGAAATGTAGTTGTAACCTAAACAGTAATCTATTTATCTTTACATGTTTTCACAAATAGCTTCCTGCATTTTATACTGTGTTTATAATATTTATTAAATGTATTTATTATTATTTTATTTTATTATTAATTTTATATGCATTTATTAGTCTCAGATAATGATTTTACAATTCTTTTAAAACTGCTTTTATTGAACATATTAAAGTGTCAGAATCCATTTAAAATTCTTCTCTGCTATGTTTCTGTACATGAATTGTCAATATAAATTGTAAATGTATTTGGGAAGCACAATATTTGAAAAAAACTGACATTGCAATAATTTGTTTTCTGTGATATATATGGCGATATGGACAATATTTTACTAGATTAGTTGAACAGCATTGGAAAAAAAATAGTTATTTTGATTGGGGTTATTTTGATTGAGAACCATTTGTGGAGGGAAGGACAGCTGTTTTACAGAGAGCTGCAGAAATACAGAATCATAATCTGTTAGAACGGAGGTTTAACACTGATGTGTCTCCCATAGATGAAAACGAAACGGGACAGAACTTTCCATTTCCTGGTCTTGAATGTTTATTTAAAGTCTTTGTTTTATGAAGTTTTCATAGATTTAAAGATTAATGTTATCCTTTTCCTCTGCAGACTCGATTTGCTTCTTGCTAGAATTGTTTGGCAAACTGAAACTAAGACAGTTTGTTGTTTCAGTAAGACAGTATCATGAGAAGGCTTAATCATAATCAGGTCCTTCTGAAACTGAAAAAAACAGATCATTTATTTATTTTACTGTATTAAAGTGTTATTATTCTCTTCAACTTTAACCCTGTACAGCCTGCTTTATCATAGTTTAATTGTATACAGGGAAAAGTATAGATGAACCCAGTAACTGGATTAAATATCAAATTTCTTCTTCTTCTTCTTCTTCTTCTTCTTATTATTATTATTATTATTATTATTATAATTATTATTCTTCTTCTTCTTCTTCTTCTTATTATTATTATTATTAAAGCATCCTTGTTTTTCCTTACAATTTATTTAACATTTTTAGACATTTGTAAGTATTGTAAAAAAAAAAATTATATTGCGATGTTTTGTTTTCTGTGGTGTGTATTGAGATCTGAATACAATTTCACTAGATTAATTGAACAGCACTGGAAGACAATTAGAGAGTTATTTTGATTGGGGTGATTTTGTTAGAGAGTGCATTTGCATAAAGTATAATAAACAAACCACAAACTACATAAATACAAGAGAGCAAAGATATAAATAAAAGTAGTGTTTATGGTTTTCTGTGGAGTCAGTTTTCAGGTAAATTACTGAATAATCAAATGTAAAGAAAATGTGTAGTTTTTATCGTATAAATGAATAAATCTGTATTAATGAATATCTGCTAAAGCTATTATGATTACATTTTGCAATGACTCAAAAAAATGAAGTGTTCGGAACTGCGACTTCTGGTCAACCTTAATCCAGACTCAACATTGCAGAACACATGTACTTCGTGGAGTCATTCTAAAAGTGTGTAAATTAATCATAAATAATGCACATGTGTAGAAGAATAATGTTTTTATGTTTACATTGTTTTGTTCTAATATATTCGAGTCATAATCACCTCATTTACCTCTGCAGTTTGTTCTTCTTCTCACATTTATATAATATTTTATTTATCTCTTTTGCGTCCAATAAAACTTTTCTCACTTGTCATAATAACTGTATTTCTCTGTTTCTCTGTGTTTATGTGACTTGAAGTGGAGAAAGTGACATTCATGGAGGGAAAGACAGCTGTTTTAAAGACTTCTACAGAAATACAGACTGACGATCATATAAAATGGAGGTTTAACAATAATAAGTCTCCCATAGCTGAAAATAAAACTGGACAGAATTTTACTGGTCCTGAAGAGATTTTCAAAGACAGACTGGAGCTGGACAAGATGACTGGATTTCTGTCCATCAAGAACATCAGTCAGGAACATGCTGGGATTTATCAACTAAAGATCACGAATAGCAGCTCAGCAGCCTATGTCAAAACATTCATTGTTATTGTCAAAAGTGAGTATTCGATGTCTTTGTTTTTTGAAGTTCTCATGCATTTAAAGATTAATGTTATCATTTTCCTTTGCAGACTTAATTTGCTTCTTGCTGGAATTGTTTGGCAAACTGAAATTAAGACAGTTTGTAGTTTCAGAAAGACAGTATCATGAAAAGGCTTAATCATAATCAGGTCCTTCTGAAACTGAAAAAACAGATAATCTGAGTGATTTATTTTGTTGCAAAGTGTTGTTATTCTCTTCAACTTTAACCCTGTACAGCCTACTTTATCATATTTTAATTGTATACAGGGAAAAGTATGGACGAACCCAGTAACTGGATTAAATATCAAATTTGTTATTTGTATTATTATTATTATTATTATTATTATTATTATTAAAGCATCTTTGTTTTTCATTACAATATTTTTTACATCTTTTGAAATTTGTAATTGTTAAAAAAAACTGACACAGCGATGTTTTGTTTTCTGTGATGTTTTTTTAGATCTGAATACAATTTCACTAGATTAATTGAACAGGATTTGGAAGACAATTAGAGAGTTATTTTGATTGGGGTGATTTTGTTAGAGAGTGCATCTGCATAAAATATAATAAAAAAAACACAAACTACAAAAATACAATAGAGCAAAGATACAAATAAAATAAAAATAGTGTTTATGGCTTTCTGTGGAGTCGGTTTTGAGGTAAATTGTTGAATAATTAAATGTAAAAGAGAAACTGTATGGTCTTCATCATATAAATTAATTTATTAATATCTGTTAAAGCTATTATGATTACATTTTGCAATGACTCAAAAAAATGAAGTGTTCGGAACTGCGGCTTCTGGTCAACCTTAATCCAGACTCAACATTGCAGAACACATGTACTTTGTGGAATCATTCTAAAAGTGTGTAAATTAATCATAAATAATGCACATGTGTAGAAGAATAATGTTTTTTTTTTATGGTCACATTGTTTTGTTTTAATATGTTAGAGTTATGAGCATCTCATATTTACCTCTACAGTTTGGTCTTGTTCTCACATTTATATGATATTTATATCTCTTTGTGTCCAATAATCTTTGCTCTCTTGTAATAATGACTCTATTTCTGTTTATTTCTGTTTGTGTGACATGAAGAGGAGAAAGTGAGAGTCGTGGAGGGAAAGACAGCTGTTTTACAGACTCCTGCAGAAATACAGAATTATGATCATATAGAATGGAGGTTTAACAACAATGAGTCTCCCATAGCTGAAATCAAAACCGGAAAGATCCCCACAACTGCTGGTCCTGAAGAGATTTTCAAAGACAGTTTGGAGCTGGATGAGAAAACTGGATCTCTGACCCTCAAGAACATCAGACGTGAACATGCTGGGATTTATCAACTAAAGATCATGAATAGCAGCTCAGCAGTCAGTGTCAAAACATTCCATGTTATTGTCATTGGTGAGTATTTGATGTATTTTATATGAAGTTCTCATGCATTTAAAGATTAATGTTATCATTTTCCACCGCACATAATTTAGTTAATTATAACAGATGTTTGTATATCAGCTTCTGCACCGCACTGAATGTTTGGGTGTCGATTACTGAGGTGTTTGCACTGTGTTTGTTTTTAATTTTCTTCAATATTTTTTAACTTGTTTAAAAGTTTAAGGTTGCTTTTCTAAATGTTTCAGATTAGAACAATATAAAATTTCATATTGTTAACTGTACTGATCAGGTTTTGAAAATAACGTAATGATAATAGTTCATATTTATTTATTTATTTATTTATTTATTTATTCTTTGCTGACATGTAGTTGTAACCTAAACAGTAATGTATTTATCTTTACATGTTTTCACAATTAGCTTCCCATATTTTATATTATGTTTATAATGTTTATATTCCCGATTTATTTAATTTTTTTAGTCTCAGATAATGATTTTACGATTCTATTAAAACTGCTTTTATTCAACAGATTAAAGTGTCATTATCTATTTAAAATGTACTTATGCTATGTTTCTGCACAGCAATTGTCAGTGAACAATAGAATTGTGTTAGGGTTGCACAAGATGTGAAAAAACTGACATAGCAATATTTTGTTTTCAGTAAAATGTATTGTGATCTGAATACAATTTCACTAGATTAATTGAACAGCATTGGAAAAAATTTATAGAGTTATTTTGATTGGCGTGATTTTGAATAAGAGACTTTTTCTTAGAGGGAGATACAGCTGTTTTACAGAGAGCTGCAGAAATACAGAATCATAATCTGATAGAATGGAGGTTTAACGCCAATGTGTCTCCCATAGCTGAAATCAAAACTGGACAGTTCTTTCCATTTCATGGTCCTGAATGGTTAATGGAACGCAGATTTATTGGAAGGGTACCGGAAGAGGAAACAGCAATTTCAACCACTGAGAACATCAGACGTGAACATGATGGATTTTATCAACTACAGAACAGCAGCTTAGTAGGCTATGTCAAAACATTCCATATTTGTGTCAATGGTGAGTTAAAGTATTTGTTTTATAAATTCTCATACATTTAAAGATTAATGTTATCATGCTCTTTTGTGTTAACATTGTTTTGTTTTAATATGTTAGAGTTATGAGCATCTTATATTTACCTCTACAGTTTGTTCTTGTTCTCACATTTATAGATTTATATCTCTTTGTGTCCAATAATCTTTTCTCATTTGTCATAATGGCTGTGTTTCTGTTTCTGTCTGTTTCTATGACATGAAGAGGAGAAAGTGACATTTGTGGAGGGAGATACAGCTGTTTTAGAGAGTGCTGCAGAAATACAGAATCATGATCAGATAGAATGGAGGTTTAACTCTAAGAATCTCATAGCTGAATTCAAAACTGGACAGATCTTTCCATCTGCTGGTCCTGATAGGATTTTCAGAGACAGACTGGAGCTTGATGAGAAAACTGGATTTCTGACCATCAGGAACATCCAACGTGAACATGCTGGGATTTATCAACTAAAGATCATGAATAGCAGCTCAGCAGTCAGTGTCAAAAGATTAACAGTTATTGTCAATGGTGAGTATTGAAATCTTTGTTTTATGAAGTTCTTGTGTGTTTGAAGATTAATGGTATTTTATTTATTAGATTATTTTTGCAAGTAGCTGATTATACTGATATAACCAATTATAATGTATCATTTACGGATGCATTCCTTATTTCCTGAAGGAGGGAACAGGGATGTTGTGAAATTGAATCTGTTATCCATTTGGTGTTCTATGCGTCAAGTGGAAGTGTGAGCACCACCAAAGCCGCAGCCATTCCAATGTGTCCAGGGCCTAATTATCAGAATATAGGAATATTTAGTATTTAGCGGGGTCTTAAATGAAATTACCTACTATATTGTTCTAATATAGTAGAGTTATAAGCATCTCCTATTTGGGACATTCTTCCATAAATGTACATTTTCACATGTTTAAAAAAAAAAAACATGGCAGGGCCTGACTTTAGCTTGTCGTCTTCAAAAAAAAATAATAATAATAATTAATAAATATATAAAAAATTAATTTTATTTTTAATGCACTTTTATTAGACTCAAAGCGTTACAAGGCAAAATACTAACAATACAAGGCAAACAGCAACAGCACAACAATAAAAAACTGCAATAAAACAATAATATAAACCATAGGAAAGAATAAAAGGTTTCTTAAAACAGTTCAGAGAAGCAGCATTCCTAATGCTGATGGGTAGTGGATTCCACAGCTTAGGCGCACTGTATGAGAAAGCCCTACCACTCATGGTCTTGAGTTTACAGCATGGCGGATACAAGGTAAGTCCCGAAGCCAAACGAAGACTTCAGGCTGGGGTGGCGAGAGTCACCAGGTCACAGATGTAAATGGGTGCTAGCCTATGCACTGCTTTAAAGGTTAAAATCAAGGTCTTAAAATCAATCCATGACTTAATAGGAAGCCAGTGTAGTTGTTGATGTACAGTAGTAATATGGTGGCGTGATGATGTGTGTGTCAGAACCTGTGCAGCGGAATTTTGAATATACTGTAATCTTCTGAGAGAAGTTGTAGGTAAACCCCCAAAAAGTAAATTACAAAAATCAAGACGTGATGTGATAAAGGCATGGGTAAGCCTCTCTGCATTAGGTTGTGAGAGAAACGGTCTAATCCGTGAAAAATTGCAGAAATGAAAGAAGGCAGTTTTTGTTAATTGTTTATGTAATGTAATCTAGTTTCAATCTATATATAATTGAAAACTTATATTATTTGGTTTTTAGGGTGTGACAGACCTTAAAATCTTTTGGTTTCCTGAGCCCTGACTGTATCTAAAGTAAATTGTCAGTTTCACAGCACAGCTGTGTCTATTGTCTAACAAACGGTCAAGCTGGTCAACTGGTCGGACGGGTTCTGTCTCCAGAACATCATTCGCAGTTTGTTTTCACGCTAAAATGTATCGTGAATGGGTAATTGTATGCTGATGAGATTGTGGCTGGAAAAAGGCAATTTACCCTGCCGACAACAGCACTTTATTTGCATGCTTTGTTTTAGACTGTCCCTACCTACATGTATTAATGTCTGTAAAACGTATTTAAACTGAGTGTCTGCTCTACTAGTTGAGAGTTTTTTCGATGGCACCACAGCAATGCAGAGTTCTTCTTATTAAAGGATTCTGCTTTGAAGATACCTGACAGTCCTCCCTGGTTTTTTGACTCGTCTTAGAATTTCACAACAGTTTTGGTGCCGTGAGCCAGACAGAGAAATTCACAACAGAACGCATCCTCAATCACTGTCAGCTTCTTCTCCAGCAAATAATGTCACTTTCGAGTCAAATGTGTATTGGAAATGTAATGGAAATGTGACAGGACTGACAGAAACATGGGGAAAGTTGTAAATGTATTATATATTTGTAGTATTTATTTGTAGAATTTGTTTATAATTTCATGTTTTTATTCACTTGATTGAATGATAACAGCTTAAACTTGCTATGTCTGAAGTATTTTTTCTAAATTACAGTTTTTAGCAAAACAAAACTATTAAAGCTGTAGGTTAAATTGGGCTGATTTGGCAGTTTGTACTTAAAGTGTTTTTAATAAAGAAAAACTATTTTAGAATTAAAGGCATTTACAGAACAACTCACAGAAATCACCCATCAATCCATTTTAGACATTTTTGGGATGAAATACTTTTTATTCAATGTAATTATGGTTTTATTTCAGGGACAGATAATTTGTGTTTCTGGTAGAATGTCCACTTTAGGTCTGCAGTTTGTTCTTTTTTTGTGTGTTCACTTGTCAAAATGACCTATCAAAATGTTTTTTCTCTGTTTCTCTCTGTGTTTGTGACATGAAGAGGAGAAAGTGAAAGTGATGGAGGGAAGGACAGCTGTTTTAGAGAGTGCTGCAGAAATACAGAGCGACGATCATGTAGAATGGAGGTTTAACTATAAGAAGTCTCCCATAGCTGAAATCCAAGATGAGCAGATCTCTACATTTGATGGTCATGGTGAGATGTTCAAAGACATACTGGAGCTGGACAAGAGGACTGGATCTCTGACCATCATGAACATCAGACCTGAACATGCTGGGTTTTATCTACTAAAGGTCACGAATAGCAGCTCAGTACCCCGTGAGAAAAGATTCACTGTTGCTGTCATTGGTGAGTGTTTTATTTCCTGCTCATGCATTTTTTTCTTCTTCAGATAATTCAGTTGAAAATGTACAGACTCCAGTAAAATGGCAAATCATTTGAGTCTTCATAAATTTAAGAATAAAGATTAATGTTATCATTTTCCATGCATTTCCCAGAGATGGGTTGCGGCCGGAAGGGCATCCGCTGCGTAAAAACGTGCTGGATAAGTTGGTGGTTCATTCTGCTGTGGCCACCCCGGATTAATAAAGGGGCTAAGCCGACAAGAAAATGAATGAATGAATGAATGTTCCATGCAGACACAGTTAGCTTCTTGCTGGAATTGTTTGGCAAAATTTTCAAAATATTGTTTTCAGAAAAAAGTATATATATTGTGAGAAGGATTTTTCATCACAAAGTGTTGCTAGTCTCTTCAACTTTAACCTTATACAGTTTATTTTATCATATTTAATATAAAGTATGTACAAATATCAAAATTAGGGACTGAACACCTACTGTGCAAAGGCCCTATTGGAATTGCTCCATTTCTTCTTCTTCTCTAAATCACATTTTTGAGGGTCTAAACATGCTCCAAAACTTTGCACTCATGCCAGGCGAAAATTTACCTTTGTTATAAGGTTTCTAAATTAGGTGTGGCAAAATGGCTAGGCAAGCACATTTGACGGAGTGGCCCCTGAGCTATGTTCATGCACACATACGAAAATGCCAAAACCTACTATTCTTATTAAATGTTATTTAAGATGTTACACGCTTTACATCTAATACTCATTTGATAAGACGTTGACATTAGTTTAGCTTTCTCAAAAATGAAAGACTTGATGTTCAGATCTTTTAATAGCTCTTTTTGTTTCAGTTTCCAAAAGAAAACAAGTGAAGAATTCAGCAATTGAAGAAACACCACTGTCACATGAAGACACACCACTGTTGTGTGAAGATGATGTCATATATGAGAACGAGAGGATGAGTTCACTTTAATGAGAAAAGACACGCCCACCAGTGTCAATCACAGTGTGTTATCATCAACATTTAACTATCCGCTTGTTAGATTTTGCTATATTTGGCTTAACCGTTCTTGGGTGGCTCGCCAATGTATTGGATTACTCTAATACATAAAATAAGTAAGCTGACCAAAGTTCTTACGGAGAGAAGATTTTATTGAAGACAATCAATAGTGCAGTTCCTCTGCAGTGATGTTAACCCGTCGGTCTTCAAGTAACTTAACTCAAAGTACTGTCTGAGACAGTACTTTTTACTCTAGCATCAAACAAACCATTCTGTTTACGAGGCTCAGCAGGACCCTCTTCAGATGTTTCAGCTGTTGTTTTGCTAATACCCATTGAGATTGTAAAAGAGTCATTTAGTTCACACCTATCAGTTTGTGGGGGTTGAGGCAGAGGTAACCCCATCTTATCACATCAGAGTTTAATTAATGTAAATGCAACTGAACTAAAATGCACATAATCTTTCACACTTTTGCCAAAATCATATTTCTGTTTTCTGATCTTCTAGAAACAGTCCTTTGAACATAAAATATCTTGTTCTTGTTCAACCGTTAAGCTCTCATGTAAAAATAATAAAAAAATATATTTGTAATATAATTATATAAATGATGATGATAGAATAGTACATACATTTTTTGTCATTTATTATTGTTGCATATTATATCTGTTTTTAAACTTTGATTTCATGTGACTGAAAACATTGATCAGCTTTTATAAGATATTTTATCTTAGCTAGGGCCGCACTGTAAATCATTTCAGCATCGGTATTCGGTAATGCAATGTGCGAATATGTAATAGTCAAATTGCAGAATCTGTTGTGATAATAATTAATCAGGAAACAGTTCAAAATACAAGCAAAGTTTATCCCTACTACAGAAAGAGCACGGAAACTGTGTTTTTAAGGTATACGAGTTTGTTTGATTTCAAGCTAATTTAAACCTTTTGGGAATAAGAAACTATAAAATTTGTAGCTTTGACAGATTAATTAACAAAGACTATACAGTTTTATTCAACATTTCATTTCATTGTTTGATTACCTTACATTATTATTTTACTTTTTACCTCAATACTGGTAGAATATCCCCAAATTCATAAAGCACTGTTTGAATCTTTGTTCTAATCCATTAATTGTGCTTGTATTATTCTTCATAACAAACACATTCCCTACAAAATTATCACAATGTAAAATTGTGAATTCTTTCCTAATAAATCATCTTATGGAGATGCCTTAATATCACAATATTTTTCACCTTGGAATTATGAGGTTCTATCTGCATTCTGAATGATTTTAAGATATTGAGCTTCAAAGTTTTTGCCACATTTACATTTAGTCATTTAGCAGACACTTTTATCCAAAGCGACTTACAAATGAGGACAAGGAAGCAATTTACACAACTTACACAAGAGCAACAATGAATAAGTGCTGTAGGCAAGTTTCGGGTCTGTAAAGTGTAAGAAAAGTGTAAGAAGCAAAACATTAGTAATTTTTTTTTTGTAGTTAGTGGAGGAGCCAGAGAGGGAATTGCAGATTAGGAAGGAAAGTGGAGACTAAATAGTTGAGTTTTTAGTCGTTTCTTGTAGACAGCGAGTGACTCTGCTGTTCTGATGCAGTTAGGGAGTTCAGTCCACCAACTGGGCAGATTGAGTGCGAGAGTTCGGGAAAGTAATTTCTTCCCTCTTTGGGAAGGAACCACGAGGCGACGTTCATTCACAGAACGCAAGTTTTTGGAGGGCCAATAATTCTGCAGAAGTGAGAGCAGATAAGGGGCGCAGCCAGAAATTGCTTTGTAAGCAAACATCAGAGCTTTGAATTTGATGCGAGCAGCAACTGGCAGCCAGTGCAAACGGATGAGCAGCGGAGTGACATGTGCTCGTTTAGGTTCATTAAAGACCACTCGTGCTGCTGCGTTCTGGAGCAGCTGAAGAGGCTTGATAGAGTTAGCTGGGAGCCCGAATAGTAGAGAGTTGCAATAGTCCAGTCTGGAGAGAGTTTGAACAAGGAGTTGAGCTGCATGTTCAGATAAGAAGGGTCAGATCTTTCTGATGTTATAGAGTGCGAATCTGCACGATCGAGCAGTTCTAGAAATGTGGTCAGAGAAGTTTAGTTGATCATCAATCGTTACTCCAAGGCTTTTCATCATTTTGGATGCTGTAATGGTTGCCCCGTCCATCTGGATTGAAAAGTTATGGTGTAGAGTCGGGTTGGCAGAAACTTCAAGCATTTCTGTTTTCGTGAGGTTAAGCTGAAGATGATGATCTTTCATCCAGTGTGAAAGTTCCAACAGGCAGGCTGAGATGCTAGCTGGAACCGAGGGATCATCAGGGTGAAAAGAGAGGTATAGCTGGGTATCATAAGCAAAGCAGTGGTAGGAGAATCCATGTCTCTGGATGACTGGTCCTAGAGATGACGTGTAGATGGAGAAGAGAAGTGGCCCGAGAACAGAGCCCTGTGGTACCTGTAGTGGCAATTTTCTTTAATGAGGCTCTCTCAGTGGTCAAGAAGACAAATTCTTACCCAAAGTGTCTTTTGAGGTTTTTATTCTTTGCAAAGAAGGTCACAGTCATACAGCAACAACAGTTTCTGCAGAGTGAGACAATGAAGCAAAGTGTGCTCATCCTTTTATCTGGGTTGTACTGCTTACGAGGTCAATTCTAGTTCAATCTAAACCACACATACTACAACAGGTGTGAAAACCATCCTGCTGCTTTCCAGTCATATATCACACAGCCCATGCCCCTTACCCCTAACAGATGTTCATCTTAAAGCTAATTGGAAAGATAAGGACCACGTGGTCACATACGGGAATGTAAGGCTGTATAAACAAAAGTACACTGTGAACACAAGTGACTTTTCACACATCTAAAGATGAGGAGTAAGCAAGTTTTCACTACACATGTTCATCTAAAAATGAATTTCCATTACATACCCTAGTGTTTAGATGCTGTAGGTTGGACACCTCTCCCCTCCAAGACACCCTGAATGACATGTTAGAGCGGTAAGATCTGAACCACTGATTAACCGTGCCTGCAACACCTAGTGACTCAAGCGTAGATAGCAGTATCTGGTGGTTTACAGTGTGAAAAGCAGCTGATAAATCCAGCAAGATGAGGACTGATGATTTTAAGTCTGCTTTAGCCAGTCTGAGATCCTCCATGACCGAGAGCAGGGCAGTCTCAGTTGAGTGGCCTTTCTTAAAGCCAGATTGCTTGTTGTCCATGAGGTTGTTTTGAGTAAGAAAGTCCAGGACTTGATTGAACACTACTTTCTCCAGAATCTTGCCCATGAATGGAAGCAGGGATACCGGTCTGTAGTTTTTAAGTAGCGTTTGATCCAGGTTGGGTTTCTTTAGCAGTGGGGTTACCCTAGCCTGCTTAAATAAAGTGGGGAATAAACCAGAGTCAAGAGATGTGTTAATCATGCGAGTCACTGTAGGTATGACTGCAAGAGATATGGCTTGCAATAGATGAGTGAGATTGGGGTCAAGCGGACGGGTGGTTGCATGGCTAGATAACACGAGTTTGGTCACCTCTGATTTTGAGAGCTGAGAAAAAGAGGTTAGCGTGTGTGGTGATGGGGGTAATTCCATAGCAAACAATAGCCCCTTTCACACATACAGACCTTTCCGGAAAATTACCGGCAATTTTTCGGAAAGGTTGTATGTGTGAACAGGTCCTTTTTGAAAATACCGGTAAATTCGTTCTGGCTATTTTCCGGAAAGAGAAGTTGTAACATTACCGGCAATTTGCCGGAATGCTGCGCTGTGTGAACGCAGAAGGAATATTTCCGGAATAAGCGCGTGCACGTCTAGAACGTGCTGACGTAAGACTTCTGCTTTAGCCAATCACAACAGTCAGACGCATTTACGTCCGCGCGGTTTGTGAGAATAAAAGCCTTTGAATATTTTTCCAGACGCATTTAGCTGCTAGAAGTTAGTCAGATAACGTTTATATATTCTCCTTAATGAAAACTGTGCAAATAATCATCGATAAGATGCTTATGATAAGCCGTTGTTTGTTTACCTTCAAGCTTTGCGTGCGCCCATGAAACAGCCTGAGCGGCAGCACACGCACATATTATGAACATCTCGACATGCGAATATGATCCTGTGAAAGTTGTTTACAATATTGATCATCAAAAGAGTTTGTAATTTAGTCAAATGTTTACAAATACAAGCGCAGCCGTTTAAAGCTCATTTGTGGTGAATGATGTCAGAATTTACCGGTATTTTGGAATGGATGTGTGAATGCTCTTTTCCGGAAAATTTCCGTAACGTCCTCGCCTGTGTGAACAGCGCTTTTTTGAACATACCGGTAAAGTCGTTCCGTAAATTTTCCGGATATTTTCCGGTATCACTGTGTGAAAGGGGCTAATATGTGTGTAGCATTTGTTTCTGTAAATAAAAAGTCTTAAAATGTAAACAACTTATAAAAAACATCCCATAATGTAAATATGTTGTCATTTAATAAGAATGTCAATAACTCAATTTTGACAAATGTCAGACAGAATCTTATAATTCTAAGGTGACAATTTATATATTGCAAAAAAAAAAAAAAAACTAAATATTTCGATGTCAGTTATTTCCAATATCATTCAGTCCTAATCCCAGCAGTATTTTTCCAATCATTACGTCAGTTGTTTTGTCATTCACACTAGTGTCAGTATTGTTAATTTCCAGCTTTGGTTCAGAAAATGTCTTTGATTGTCAGTTTCATTGTATTTGATGTTTTTATTGTAGAATTAACCAGCTATAACATTGATTTACAGTATTTTACATTCCAATTGATTTTTTTTTAAATTTTTTACTATATTTACTCTTATTAAACCTATTTTTTACTATTATATTTTTTATATTAGTTTTATTATGCTTAAATACGTTGTTCAATGACATGCTTAAAAAGTGAATTTTTTTTTCACTTAATCTAAAATGACAAATTTTGTATACAAATGACTGTGTTCTTGCTGAAGCACTTAAATTACTACACTGTGTCCTAGCAACATGCAATGTGACATGCTATAAAATGATTATTTTTCATGTTAAAAGGAGTTTTTGGCCTAACTATTTGTGACAGAAATAGAAAAGAAAAAAAATTCTGTTGTTCTGGAAAGCAGAACAACAAAATTAAAACTGAAAGTCTGAACTGTGACTCAGTGCAAAACAACAACATCAGGCACTCAGTAGCATACTTAAAATAATAAAGAGGTTTAGTATGTATTGATTAGAATAAAAGCTTTTACCATTTCATTGCAATTGCTGTGGCTGGTATTTAAATGCTTTTGTCCTGTCAAGTCAGGTTTGGTGCAGACAGACAAATTGCTTGTTGCTGTAATCTTGTCACGTGTGGGTGGGATGCAGTATGAGTTCATCCTTGTGTGGGTCAGGTATTGTGATTTTTTTTTCGTTTTATAATAACTTTGCAGTTTTAATTACTTTGTATTATTTTAAAGTTCATTCCCTCTAAGTAACGAGTGCCTTTTTTCATTGTATACTTTTCCCCTTTTTTCCCTTTTATACTTTTTGTATACTTTTGCTGTTTATTTTTTGCTAATAAAAATTTGCTTATGAAAAATATTATTTGTGCCGACTCTTCACTGTAAGGCTTAGGATTGAATTATAGACACACAAATATGCACAGGGTGCTTGTGTACAACTAAGTCCAAACCACGTTTTTTTTTTCAAGATCTATTGTGTAAGAAATGAGATATTACAAATATTTTAATGTCTTTGACATTTCAAACATGAGCCAAAAACAGAGACAATTGACTCCACTACCCAGCAGGTGGGAATGCGGGAAAAACCACCTCCTGCTACATTTCCATCTGAATCCACTGAAACTCGACTTCAACCACCCCACCTCACACATATGGTCATTTCAATGTCTGAATGTTTTAAATTAACCCAAGTGACTTTATCTATCATGTTTGATATCATTTGAAATGTCTCAGTGCGACTGGTACAATGGTATCATTCTCTCAGAAATAGACATAATCAAAACAATAAATATATAACTTCAGGCATCTTTTGAACCACTGTGAAGGGTGTGACTTTCCCACAGGCAGCACTAAATGCAAATGCCTTTTGTTATACACACACCCCTTTATTTGAGGGGATTCTTGGATTACTTAAGGTAAGGTTTGAGAAATGCTCGGCGCGATTCTGCTTACCCAGATCAGCCCGTAACATGGAGCATACGCTCCATGTTATGTATATTTTGAAGTCAGGAATGCATCATTTAATCTTGGATTTATCTTTGATTACTTGATGTCTTTATTGATCGTTTATGAATTGACTGAATGAATTGGCATAATACATTTACCTGACTAATAAATTGTTATGTTTTGAATT